GGGAGGAGGCGGAACAAGCTTGGAGGGATTTTTTTTTTTTGTTCCTGAGATACCAAGCCTAGAGCTTTGATTTAACAACAAATATCAGGTTGCTGCCTGCTGGTGACGAGGAAGCAGATTAACGGGATTTTGATGACACAAGGTTTGCTGCTTAGCATTTAATGTATTTGACTTCTTTTCTCTGTTTGGAACCGGACTCTCATTATAGTTTTATCAAGTAAATAGCCATATTAGTGATTATCCATTTCTGTATTGATTTAACATGAGAACACTGCATTAATTGAGTCAAAGACGGCCTCGATTTGCGTGCAGCTTTCTCGTTTTGTGTGCATTCTCGCCTTGTTCGACATGTCAATTTCACCGAATATCGAAATTGTACGAATTGATAGTGCATTTAAGGTATTGTCGACGTTCCAGTCGCAACGGTGAAGTCCATTTCACAATCAGACGTTATTTGAGTGACACCGAGACTTATTTTTACATAGGGACCGTCTCGATTTGCGCGCACAACCTTAATTGAACAAATTGGCAGTACATTTAGGGTATTTTCGGTGTTCTGAACACAACGACGCAATCCGTTTTACGATCAGACATCGTTTGAGCAATGCCGAGGGAAATTTTTACAAGGGCCCGCCTCGATTTGCGTGCACAACCTCAATTGCACAAATTGGCAATGCATTTAGGGTATTGTCGGTGTTCTGAACACAATGACGCAGTCCGTTCGTCAATACGACGTCGTTTGATCAGCCTCGCGTTTTAATTTTGAGTGTCGGTCATCTCTTTTGACCGATCTCATCCGATTCGACTGCGAGGGGCCTCGACCTAGTAGAATTCGACATCCTGATCACAACGACGCCGTCCGTTTGGCAAACGGAGGTCGTTTGACCCTTCAAGTGACGTGTGGCGCCAAGGCTCATATTGCTTTATTCATCAGTTTGGGTCCTTCCTCGTGTGGTTTGAGGTATATGAGTCAACATTATACAACAACAACAACATCATCAAGCCTTTATCCCATTGTGGGGTCAGCTACATGAATCCTTTTTCTCAATTGTGTCACTGGAGCTACTCCAACCTTTTCACGGATATGCTCGTTTCATATCCTATCTCTAAGAGTAAATCCACTCATCCACCTGAGCATCCTCATCTTAGCAACACTTAACTTAATATTATGCTTCTCTTTTAATGGCCAACATTCTGCGCCATAAAGCAATGCAGGTCTCACCACCATCTTATAAATTTTTCCCTTAAATTTGAGTGGTACTTTCCCATCACACAATAAACTCTAAGCATTCATCCACTTGTTTGTGCTTATCAATAGAAATCAATGGAAAAACTCACTCTCCAAAAACATTTGCATTGATAGTCAATGACATTATCGTTGATCACCTTCAATGATTCCAATTGTATTGCACAAAAAAAAGTAATCGAAATACAAATAACTTTCAATGAAAAAAAGAAAAAAAAAACATAATAAAAATCAGAGGATCCCACAATATTATTAGATGAAATCATTGGTTCATCTATTATTTTTTTATTCTCTCTGAATTCATATGGGCCTAACAAATAAAAATAAAAAGAAGAATATTAGTTGATTAGACATTGAAAGATGAATTTAACATACATTTGGATCTCAATCCTACACTACTACTATTGCAGGTACCAACTATTTTTTTAATTTCTTATTTGCAATTGGTTTTGATGTGCAAAGCTAAGTAGAAAATCTGTGAGAAATGTACTAAGTAGAAAATCTGTCAGAAATGTACTCCCTGGTAGATAAACTCACTAATTTTTGGGCAAAGTTTAATTGAGATAGTTATGTTAGATTTTGTCTATTGAGTTGTTGGTCGTAAATGAGAAGCGCATATAAAGAAAGTAAATGAGACAACATATACAAAATTTTTGCATGATTAGGCAACCAACTTGGCCCATAACCATGCCTCATATACTTCATTTCTTAACAATTAAAAAAGTCTAGTACATCTAAATACTTCATGATCGATCGCGGTTACTCATAGCAGCAGATGTCTCTAGATGCCGAAGCGCGTCGTCTTGCACGTGGCACATCGTCCCCCTCGTAGCAGCACACAATTCTGAATATCAAATCGAAGCACAATGTCTCTCTCACGGATTGCCACGGATTGCTCGCAACGCATCATCTTGCTCGCAGCACGTCGCCTTGCTCGCAGCTGCAAGTCTTCTCCCTCGCATAATTTGGTCTGTAGTTCGGTCTCCATGGATTATAGTGGGAAGGCGAGCAAGTTAGAAGTATTTTTACTAAAATACCCATAAAGAAGCGAAGCCTTGTGGCTTCTTCCGTAAATTTTAATTTCTAATTTAATAGAAGGAACAAATTTGATAATTTTTAATAGTTAAGAGACTAAATTGAGGCAATGCGAAACTCTGAGACTAAATTGATCATTTATTAATAGTCGGCTGACTATTTTTTATTTTTACTCTTTTTTGTGTCCTATTCTTCCTTTATACTAGCCCATTCAGCTATGTAGTCCTTGGTGATTGAGAAACTGTATTTGATTTCATTCTCTTCACAAAATCATTAAAATTTCTTTTTTTCTAATTCTTATGTATGAATGGTTATAATCATGCATCCTAATTCCTAAGCTCTTTTAAATATTTTTTGCAAAATACTCAAGTTCATCAAATGAATAGTTCTTGTTAGCTACAAAATTTTCCCTGATAAATCTTGTGAAGTTATATACAATCACTAAACCATATTTCTTCTTAGGAATCTCACTTAAAATTTTGATGCTATAGGTCCAAACAGGTTTATATACAAAAGTTTTATTGGGATAGTTGTGCTGAAAATCTGAAGTGTGTGAATGGATGCCATGATCTGCTTGCCCATTTGACAGGCATAACAAAGATGATCATTAGTGCAATCTAGTTTGGGTAAAGCTCATGATTAAGTCTTGGCTAGAGAATTGTTTCCGTTTATGCATACTAGCATGACAAAATTTCTTATGCTACAACCAAGATTCTTCACGAGTAGCTTTCAAACATTTCACACTACTACTGCACAGGTTTCTAATATCATACATGTAAGCATTTCCATTCCTGAAACCTTATAACTCAATTTTATCATTAGAAACAAAGTTGCTTAATTATTTTATTTTAAAAAAAAAAAGTTCACTGACCTAGGTCGCAAAGAATGTACGTCCCAACCCAATCTTGAACCTACTCAAACCTTGTGCCTGCGATGGCTTGAGTGCAGGCAACAACGATGAAGAAGATGAAGCTCGGTCGAAGAAGACAAAAGAAGATGCTCTTGGTCTCCTATCCCGATTCTGCTTCCTTGAGAATGCGCTGAAATGATAGCAATGCCACGATGACAAAGGAGCTGCACTGAATGCGATGGCACAACGATGAAGAGGGATGAAAACAATCTAAGAAGGTGAATCTATCTTTCAGCCTCCCTATCCTGATCCAACTCAAGACCTTGTGCAACACTGGTCCCATGGGTGGTGGCAATATAATAGGATATATTTATTAATAGTGATATAAAACACAATTTTAAAACCCTATTCTGAAGGAGGCATTGCCTCAAACCACATTGAGAAATTAAGCCTCATGGCACGCATCTCGTTTAAAAAAGCACAAGTTTCACAAGAATCAGTGAGCTTAAGCCTTCGAACCTGTCCTCATGCGTCTCAATTCAAGGTGTCCTCCTCGAACACTTTTTTAATCCCTGATCTAGCATGTGAATTTCGCAACTCTTTTTAACTTTCAGAATGGATAATTTTCATTCTATATTCAAACAAGTGCTAAGCTTCGTATTTTTCATTCATGAAATTATCGAATAAAAAACTATTTTAGGATTTGTGAAACTTTTTTCTAAGCTTGTGCATTTTTCTTCAAACTTGAATATTTCTTCTATAAATTCATAAAATTTTCATGCGTTTCTTTAAGCACTCTAACTCTTTGTAGATAAATTCATTCATACTCTCGAAAATTTATTTCTTCATTTTTTTTTTATTTGTTTGAGGATGATTTTGAATCTAAATTGACTCTTTTTTTTTATTCTTCTTTACCTTTTCTTCTTCTAGTCTTATCTATTTGAAATTTGGATTTTCTGAGTGGTGATGTGGTTGAGTTATTATAGTCATTTCTAAGCTAAGGGGATCGCGGACTTGTTATCTATTGGATCCAGAGTGACTCACTTTGCATCTAACTCCAATTTGGCTAAACTGAGTTGATCTTTGCTAGCTGATTTTATCACTTGATTGACACGTGTACTAATGTGATGCAATCGGGGTATGTGGGAAGACTAACGACCCACATTTGGCTATATAAGATTTTGATGTTTACATCTCTTTCTTTTTAAGGGCATCAAGCTGCAACAGATTGTCATTGATATCATTGGTTAAATCATTATAACTTTTTGACTAAGCTGTGCGCATTTTGTAGTTATTTTACCTGGTAAATGTAGCGTCGAACAACATTTGGGATTTGTATGTCCCGTTTATAGCTTGTGCAACTTTTGTTTGCAGATTTCTTAAATATAAGTTCATCCACAATCATAGATTTTTAATTTTCATCTGAGATTGCTACCATTCATAATGATTTAATAACGCTGGGTATAATCTAGCTAGTTCATGTAATTAGTACAGTTTATAAACCACGTTAGTATTTTACCTCTCAATTAGATGCTTTTTGCTTGAAAAGTGGACTTCTGTTTATCGAAGGATTTTTTGGTCAAATAATTTTTTTTCAGCTCAATGGTTATGGCAATCCTGTGCAGGTTTTAGCTTTCAACAGGATTATTTTTCATTCTTTTTACAACTCATCTGTTTGTTTGATCGAAACCTCTCTAATTTTGGTTGGATAAAACTTTTTAGTGCGTGGTGACAACATTGTCTTAAATTTGTCTAAAATTATCTATCAATGACAATTAGTTACAAAATTTGTGGAAGCATTTTCTCTAAATATCAAAATAATTCTAGAATTACTGTTCCGTAATTATGTAATGATGCAGAGTTTTGCAGGACTCTTCCTGCTGGTTACTTGGAAATTGGGGAGTCAGCTGCTCAAGGGGCAATGAGGGAAACCTTTGAAGAAGCAAATGCTGAAGTAGAAATTATTTCACCATTTGCTCACTTGGATATTCCTCACATTGGACAAGTGAGGAAACTTTTTTTTTATTGCATTATTCATAATATTTACTTAGTCTTGGCATACTTTCTATTCATGAATGTGCCTTATGATGACCCTGCAGTACAGAGCTATATCATATTCCGAGCAAAAATGAAGGAGCCTTATTTTTCACCTGGTCCAGAGTCATTGGAATGCATGCTATTCACACTGGACGACATACCCTTTGGATCGCTTGCTTTTTCATCAATATATGTCACACTAAAAATGGTATACAAAATGATATATTCTCATCATTTGGGAAGCTTACTGATCTCATCTTGCTTTGCTTGCAGTATGCTGAAGATGTCAAGAATGAAAAGCTTAGATTTCATTACTGCACCATAAACAAGAGGTGATCAATTCCATATGCTTCACTTGCTCATATGTTTATTAATTTAATTAAGTATAGAATCTGGCAACTATTTAAATGAATGTTTAAACTTATGAGGAAACTGGGTGATATTTCAAAAGCCTTCGATTTGCTTTGAGATGAGTTCAATATGTTGTATCCAAATATGTCTATGCAAGATATCTTGAGCCTACTATGAAGACTAGCTAAGACGATGAATACACAAAGAGGTAGGTGGATGAGTATGAAGAACTCTGAAATTTGGAGTCCAAAAAATAACTCCCAACTCTTTAATTATAGGATTGGAAGGCAACGGGAGAGTCCATACCTAAAAAAGCAATATAATATTATAAGATTTACTATTACAGACACATGTTATTGACAGGAATAAATACGCATGTCCTGTCGTATTTGGTGTGGCTCTAGAATGATCATAACGAGTGCCTACGGTGCGTACCTTCAATGGGTTATTTTTAGCTGGGGGCTAGTGTGATTGATGAGGAAGAGTTGGTAGGTTTAGGCCTCATGTAATTTGAATGAGAGGTCCTCTGTTAACTTGACTTGGGCGGGTTCTCCTTTGGGGCAACTTTTCCTTGGGCAAGTACCTGCATTTGTTAAATCTTGTAAGAATGAGTCCCTTATTGAATGAGGCATGCCTTGGACTAGTGCGCCTTTTGACCGAGCTCCTCTGAGGCGGGCTTGACTAATCCTTGTGATTTGCTTCCACTAACATATTGGGGTGTATATCTAGTTCCCCAATTCTATTGCTCATTTGGAGAGTGACTTGCAAAGAAGGTTAAAAGAATTAAAAAAAAGTACTTATTATTTCTTCCAGCTAAATAAAGAGGGTGACACCCACACCTTCACTTCTGCTAGCAGCCATGTTGGAATGGGTGTGAGTATTGTAGGAGCAACTCACCCTAATTAAAGCCAAGTTTGAGGAGGAAAAGAAAAAATGTCGTTTCCCTTGAGAAGATGAATGCATCTACCGTTGCTATTGAGGACCTCTTCTCAACGTGCTAACAGGTGCTAACTCTGGTGGCTGAGGTGTTAGTGACTCACAAGTTCAGGAGTCGCCAAAGACAAGTAAATTTCTTGTTAGGGGTGAATTCGTTTTGGAAAAAGTAGTCACGAGTGGAGCTTTTACCCCTAGTATTTTATTATATGTTGTATTTAAATATTTTATTGGGTGCAAGTAAGATGAACTAGCCCTTGTTTATAAGCATCGAATGAATAATGTAAAAAGTTTATATCGACTATAGGTTGCATTTATGTTTAATGCCATTATATTAGTGACAGATTTACATTTCATAACTATGGCAACTTCGTTTTTGGCAAGTTTGATCAATATGAATGATAATGATGGAAATGATTTTAATTATGGTTGATATGACATTTACCTCAAAATTTAAAATTTCCTCCTATAAACATACCTTCAGCTCTCAGTGAGAGTTTTGCTGCTTTCATTTCTCTTCTGACTTTGTCTCTCCTCTCGCTTTTCGTATTCAACCGGTGTCAGTGCTCTTTTATTGTGAGATGGCGGCTTTGAGGAAAAGCCACTAAGCCCTTGTGGATATTGAGGTTGCCCAGTTTATCGATAAGGTGTCATTGTTTGTTAACATGGTCTTCCTTGGTTATTGGTTTAAGGATGTCAATTTTACAATGTGAGTATCCACGGATGTTGAGTGATGCAATACTCTTTTTGACGACCAGCTTTACATTCTTCATGAACACTCATCAAGGTATTGAACTTTTTTGGATTTGTACTAATGCAAATAATGTTGAATTCGATTGCGAGCATTGTCATATTAATCTCACACTTGTGAGTGGAAAATATTTTCTAGAGCCTCAACTTGTTATGGCATTGACGCCTCTACGGACGAGTGTGTCCAGCGCTCCTCCATCAATATTCAAATGAGCAGGTTGATGAATAAAGTGAGAGATTGGAAATCAAAGTTCCTCGTGAGGTTGGAGATTAGGTTGACCTTGTTGACCAAGCCTATCATCAAGGAGAATCATTGTTTGCCTGACTTGGATGATGGCAAACTCTAAGTCATCATTCAATTGAAGGGGATGGCTCTATATGTACCCAAGTATATTAGAAACTTGTATAGTATCACTCTCTTTCTGCTTTATATGATATTTTTGAAGTTTTCTTATTGCTTTGGTGCTTTCTGTGATTTACTTTGTTGGTGAGTAGAATTTGTATGCCCGTTCGATGGAGCCAGGGATACTATAGTTCCTGGGAGTGAGCCATGTAGGCTCATGAGAATAGGTGAGAAAGAATGTGAAAGCAGTGAAGCTTAAGATGACAATAGAGTTGTCTAGGCCGAGTTTGTCTCACTCGTTCACGCCTATTCACTCAAAATCGATAATGGCGGCTCCTCTCAAGTTCATCCCTCTTAAGTTGTCTATGTCCATGAATCTATTTCTTCTAATGGATCTTCTCCAACCCCAAAGGCCGAGAGTGGCCATTGCAAGGCTTGTTGAGTTACTAGCGAGGTAAGGCATCGAGGATTTCACCTCCTATCCTTGCCACTAAGAGTGTTGAAACGATTAGAGAAAGTGCATCTTGCCTTCCTCGTAGAGTTATTATCATAGATGTGGGTCTAGCAAAAAAGCAGTCCGAGAAGCGACCCATTACAATGACGCCCAGTGGCAAAGGGAAGGAAGTCATTGGGGCTTCTACCAAGAAGCATGGCTCTCCTGTGGCTTTGGACTTGCAAAGTCCAAGTTCCTCCCCGTCACGCCTCATCCCTCGCGAGACGAAACTGGCATGGGAGATGTCATCCACTAGACTGTGATCTTGGTTGGGCTCGATGCAATCAAGAACTTGGAGCCTACCTTCACCAAGATGGGGATATGGATGGCGACTTGGCAAACCAATTATAACCTTGCTTGCAATCGCACGAAGGCGCTAAAATGTCTTAGCATGTTGGAGGAGACCCAACAAGCGAAGACTTCCTTGTGCAAGGAGTTGCTACTCGCCAAGTAGCGGAGGTGGCATACTCGCTAAAGGCCTAGGTGGATTCACTAAAAGTCGAGCTAGCGAAGGGGAAAGTTGTTGTTGAAATGAAAAACAATTTGGCAAGAAAGAGCGCTGAAGAACTCTCTCGAAAGACAAAGGAATTTAGCGACAGGAGGACCAGTGGACCATTTCTAGATTCCCATCAATACTGTTGAACTATTGGGGTGCAAGTATAACGAGGGTATTGAGTATTGCTTCAATAAACTGATTGGCAACAGTAATCAGGACAGCAAGTTCGGCAATAAGCCATGCTTCTACGCATTGATGTTTAAGTCTTTCGAGGGTGAGGATGACAATGGAGTGAATGCAAATAATAATTGAAGCTTCTCCTTTTCTTGCATAAAAATAGTCAAATGTAAAACTCATTAGGGTACAGTGAAGTACATTTTGCTTACTCGCATGTTCTTTGTCTAAATGCTGTGTTTTGTTGGATTAGATTTTTTCTTTACATTATGTGTGGTTTACTTTGGAGTGGGTCTTCTATGTTAGAGCAATTTCTTGCAATTTCACCTTAAATAAATCTTACTTTTTCCTATGTTAGAGCAATGTCACAAGGCTTGGAATAGGGTTTTATTTCACATCTTCGTTTAATGTAGATACCTTAAGTTGGCTTCAACTTTTATCAAACATTAGTCTTCATTGGGGTAACCACTTAAGCTTGTAATAAGTGCGGACTCACACTCTACTTAATGCGGAATCGGTCGTAAAAAAGTGGAGTCGCCCACTTAGGCTACATTTTTATCTTAGACTTGCACAATGTTTCCTTGGATGATCTTGCCCTTCACTAGACCTAAATCATCGTACAGTGGATCATTTAAACTCGCCAACTAGAAGAAACTCGCATTCTATTCAATGCAAACTTGGACGCAAAAGAGGAGTTGCCTTATAGGGCTATATAATTTCATTTAGTGGTGTGGAAACAAATTCTATGGGATATTGAGGCTTTGATCAGTGTGGCTACACGGTTTTATTGGGGAGAGTCGTTCGGCTTGTTGTAGGATTTTATTTCACATCACTTTTTAATGTAGACATCTTAAGTGGGCTTAATCTTTTGTCAAACATTAGTCTTCACATGGGGTAACCATTTAAGCTTGTAATAAGTGGGGACTCATTCTACTCAATGTGGAATCGGTTGTAAAAGAGAGGAGTTGCACACTTAGGCTACATTTTTATCTTAGACTTGTACAATGTTTCCTTGGATAATCTCGCCCTTCACTAGACTTAAATCATCATAAAGTGGATCATTTAAACTCGTCAACTAGAACATACTCACATCTATTCAATGCGAACTTGGACGCAAAAGAGGAGTTGCCTTATAGGGCTATATAATTTCATTTAGTGGTATGGTAGCAAACTCTATGGGATTTTAAGGCTTTGATCGGTGTGGCAACACAGTTGGTTTATGTGGCTTTCTTGAAAGGTAAGAGTTGAAATGTGAGTGATTTCTGCCATGAGTGAGTTGACTCTAACTATTTTTCATGTATAAAATTTTGTAGAAGAGAGAGAGATAGAGAGGGGTAATGCATGACCGTTCTACCTAGAAGGGAAATTCAAATAGGAAAAGAAGATGATCTAATTAGGCATAGATTATTAGTCTACCAAGGGACCTTAATGCTCCTTCAGATCATTTGTTTTGGGGTCCAAGGAGTAGTCTCGTCACTCTTTGACTTGACCTTGAGTTGAGATCACCCTAATCCCAGGACTTAGGCTAGTCACCATTTTCATTCGAAATGGACTATCATCATGAGTAGAGTTTTATCATGTGATGACCTTGGCATTTGCTTGAGCTCAAAGTTGGTCAACTTCAGACTATGGCGGGAGTTGTTGAAGTCAAACTCTAACTAGACATTTCCTATCAAAGAAGGTTATTTTCTAGGACCATTAGCGGAACACAAGTTCCCCGATTGTTGGAAGGAGCTATTTGCTAGTGAATGGAGTATGCTCCCCCAGACTTAGTAGCAATTAGTTGTTTGAATATTAATTTGTTTGTTTTGTAGTTGTTTTAAGTTTGCTAAATTATAACATGTTGTGAAGAACTCATTGTATTCATGCAAAGCAAAATTTTAAAAAATACAATTTAGAGATACACAAGGATAAAAATCTTCTATGAATGATAGAAGTTCTTGCGGTCGTTGGCCTCCACATTTTGGGCACTTTTTTTTAAGTGAGTCTATAACTTATATGTTATGGGGTGACTTTTTGTTGATGATGTAAGGACATTCCTAGTTTTAGCTTAGCTTCCCAAGCACGAATTGGAGAGATGTAGTGTAAGCTTTTTTCAACATTAAGTTTCTGTGGTGAAACACCTCTCTGACTTCTTTTGGTTTCTTCTTGCTTCAGTGATACCTGAGTTTGGTGCTCTTCTAGCAAATCTACAGCGGTCTCCAACCCTTCTCTATTTCATTCTTCCCATTCGCCCAAATCACCTTCTACAAATTTTTAGGTGGCAACCGCTCATTGTTTATGCAACTCATACACAATCGAGAGTAAGGCTCAATGAGAGAGAAAATAGGTTTGACCCATTGCCTAGGATGTTGTGGTCCTGAGTTCTCAAATGATAGAAGGTAGCGCCTCTACTCATTTGCTTTTTGCTTTCTTCTACCTTCTTTTTCAATAGTCACAATTTGCTTTTTTTGCTTCGACTTAGTCATTCGTCTAACGGTGACGTATTGAAGAGAATTTTGAGGTAGGTACCCTAGGATTGACAAAATTCTTTAATTTTCTTGTTAGTGAACTAGGGCTCTTTGTCGGTGATAATGGCCATACGGAGGTCGTACATACATATTACATTGATTCAAATGAAGTTTTGGATGACCTCAACTGTCATAATTGCTAGTTCCTTCACTTCAATTCACTTGGAGAAGTAATTGACTATCACCAATATGAATTTTCTGTCCGTTTGCAAGTGGAAATGGTACAAGCAAGTCCATTCCTCAAACAATGAATGACCAAGAGCTTGAGATGTGCTTTAGTTTGTACAACTGTTGTAGTTGCATATGGTCAAATTTTTGGCACTGCAAGTACTTTTTGGAGAAGTTTTTGGAGTTTTTTTAGAGTCGACCAAAAGTATCCATGCTTTAGAATGCGATGTGCAAAGTCCTCCCTCCAGAGTGGCTATCGCACTTGCCTGCCTATACATCCTTCAATATATTCTCCAGCTCGCTCTCCTTTATGCACCTCAGGTTTAGCGATGTTATTGATCATCTGAGGAGCGAGCTCACCTCCCATTAGGAGGCATTAAGAAAACTTCATCTTCAACCTACAAATATTGACCGTCAAGGGGAGTATCTTTCTTATTTTTAGGTAAGCATATGAATCTTACTCACCTTAGCATCCTGTTCAACTCGCATCAATTTCTCTTCTTCAATGGTGGGGCAAGACAAGTTCAAGGAAAATTGCCCGTTTAGATTCCCTGCCTTTGATAGCAAGCCAATGAGTTGATTTTACTCCTTCGGGATCTTCAATATTTTGAAGTGCTTTAGTTGGCTAATCTCTGCTATCAATCTAAAGAGATATCTTTGTTGTATTTCATCTCACACTTTGTAGCGTCCATTGCCTTGATTTAGTACTAGCAACGAGTCGAAGTAGTCTTCCAAGTGCTTTGCATCAATGCCGGCGACAAACCTCAATCCTACAATCAAATCTTCATACAATGCATGGTTTGCAACTTAGAACTATCTCCACGATGTATGTGAGTACCACTCTTATTTTTCGTAATTCCTTGCTCGCCAAACACTCCATCCCCATATAAATGTCCATAGTTAGTTGCATCCTCATTATTTTCTTTTTAGATTTGGAGTGTGAAATCGGTAAGGTCCTGAGATTTTATGGAATCCTCAAACTATATGCAACTTGGAACTCGCTCAACTAAATCACCAATTTAATAATCTCCTTGAATAAGCCCATGCTTATTTTTCCATGATTGGGTATTTGAGCTCAACCCCTTAGGTAGATTGGTCACTACTTCATTCTTCTCTAACTAGGACCGAGCTAATATCATCCTTGTCAACTCTAATGTACAACAGTAAGTCTTCTCCATGTTTCAGGATTTGGAAGAGCAGTGATAAGGATAGAAGCATCTTCATTTATTGGGAGGAGGTCTCACATTCTTCATTCCATGCAAAATGCTTTGCACTTTTGAGGACTTTGAAGAAGGCCGAGCATCTCTCACCCAACTTTGAGATGAAGCGGTTGAAACCAACGACTCATCCTGTAATTTGCTGCATCTCCTTGGCCATCTTCGGTGATGGCATATCCAATTTGAATTTCACTTTATTTTGGTTCATCTTGATCTCTTCTGGGTGTGGAGACACTCCAAGAACTTACTCGATCATATAAAAAAGTACACTTCAAAGGGTTAAGCCGAATATTATTATTATTTGCATAGAGAATATGTCCCTCAAGTTCAATATATGTTGCATTGGCAACTTTTCACTAGTAGGTCATCAACGTAGACTAATGTTCCTTTTTAACCCTTAAAGACTTGGTCTATCATGTGCTAGTAGGTGGCTCCTGCAACTTCAAGCTGAATGGCATCACCTTATATCGAACAAGTCCATCCACCGTGATAAAGGTTGTCTTCTCGCAATTATTTGGGTGCATTTTGATCTGATGATAACCTGAGAAAGCATTGAAGAAGCTCATGAACAATAATCCAATTGTCGAGTGAGTCAACTATTACGTTTACCCTTGAAAGGTGGTTAGCTATCTTTGGGGTAGGTGAGTTCAGGTTAGTGAAGTCCACGCACATCCTCCTTTTTTCACTTGCCTTATGTACCATTATCACATTGGAGATCCAATCAGGAGTTCCTATACCTCTTGCTTTATAGGTTCGGGTAGAATGGTTGTGGTCTTATTTTTTGTTTGATAGGTCTCACCTCCCTTTTCACATCAGGTCTAGGGCAAACGATTTTTGTTATTTATACCTGACATCTCAAGCAAGATTCAAGTGAACACGTTGACATCATCTTTGAGGACTTGGATGAGTTCATGGCGATGATGCCCAGGGCAAAAAGATGCGCTTATTTTCTATGTTTTATGCTCCATATCACGTAGTGCTTGGTTTTTTGTTAATAGCATCAATTCGCACTCATTGCACTAAAGAGGAAGTTAGATTCAAATATGTCCATGGAAGATATATTGACCGTACTATCAAGACTAGACTAGTATGAAAAAGAGCTCTGAATTTTGTCCATGCTCAATGTATCTTAGGATCGAATATAAAAGGCTATAAAAAATTTTATGAATGAAGAGAACTATCACTTTGGTATTCTTTCACATATAATTTCTTGTTGTTACTCCTCACATTTTTACTATTCAATTATGAGTATATGGATGTGCTTGATATATAGTTCAAACGAAAAAATATTCTCTCAGGATATTCTAATCTTCTTTTTTTTTATGATGTTTCTATCAGTTAAAATTCGTTTTGAGATATGTAGAATAAATATAATAATTTTATTATTCATTGTGATTAAAAAATTTTTATTTTCTTATGAGATTTGTGAATATTATTAATAAATAAAATTTGCCCGATTTCTGGTATGAATAGTTTATTGACTTGGTTGACAGGCCTGGGGCAAGCCCATCTGATCCAAATGGTTTTGATATGGAACATCACTTGCAGTCTTGAAGATTACAGGTCAGTGTTGTGTGTTTTTTCTTGACCATTTTGGCCTTCTCAATCTGTAATTCTTCTTCACTGAAATGTGGGTTAGGATGGGTTGCTTTATGTATGGTTATCAATTGCACATGTTGATAAATAGATTTTTTTTTTTAGTTATTATAATTCTTTTGAGATTTGAAACTGACTTTCATATTTT